CTCTCTCTCTCTCTCTCTCTTCTACTCTCTCTTCTCTCTCTCTCTCTCTCTCTCTCTCTCTCTTCGCTTTTTCTCTCTCTCTCGCTCTCTTTTTCGCTCTCCCCTCTCTCTCTCTCTCTCTCGGGTACATAAAGTGATGTATGTTTATATTATCCAGCGGATGCTATAACAGTGTCATCGCCAACCGCACTAAACCGGCTCACGCGCGCGCTTTGCGGCCACTATCTCGTGATGTTCCAATTACGTCATGTAAATTTTATACTGTTCAATAAATTAGAAAAGTTCGTTTTAGGCGAACGGGTCGATAAACACTCCAATAGAGTCGCAACTCCGCGTACAGGTTGCCCCTTGTTTGCCCGCGGGCAAACCGCAAGCAACCCTGGGGGCCTTATACGTTTATGAGCTACCATATGGTCGCTAATTAAGTAAAAACTAGGTCAAAGTAAAACAAAGATGGCGGAACATTGCGCAGCTGCCTTGCACGGGTGGATAAACGGATAAACCACGGTACTACCCTTACGCCCGCGTTGATCGGCGTAAAGAAAAAACATCTTCTGATTAAACTCGCGGCGAATTCTCGATGGAGACGGTGAACGCGCGACGATCAAAGGAGGCAGCCGGTGTACAAAGAAAAGGTGTGGAGCTAGTTTTCGTTGAACGTATGGTAATCTTTCGCCGCCGCCGCCGCCGCCGCCGCCGTCGGGCGGGCGCGCGGCTCACGGCGAACATCGTCGTCCGTAATTAACAATTGATAAATGGCGTCTTTCGCGGTACGACAAAGACCATTTTCCCGGGCGGAGGACAAACAACAGCAGCTGCTGGGTTCTCTGCTGATTTAGCTCGCAATGAAACCCTAGGATCGCTAATGAACAGATTCTCATACGTAGCCGACTCTACCCACCATTAATTTCGCTCATAATTACAGTATTTCGTGATCCTGTTGTCAGTTTCTCCTCGGGTTTTTTACGTTCTCGTTCGTGTTGCTTACAGCTTGTGTACGGGGGAAACTGGATGTTTTTCTGGCTTCTGTCATTAAGCTTTCCTAATTGGACATCTCTGTCGGAAGCTAATTGAACTGAGTTAGTGGCTAATTGTCTAGGTTCGGATATCTGATAAGCAGTAATATATTATGTTAAAGCACGCGATATTCAATGGCGTAATACAATACGCCTGATTTCATTACGCCGTTCCTCATTTCAATAATATTTACTTCCACTCTGATCGCCAATACACTAGATATAATTTAATTCGTTGTGATTATTTCTGTCAGGCTGCCGTTGTCAATTGCACGGAATAAACTTCATAGTTGGAACTCGAGTAGCGGTACTAAAGGAGCCAAAGTACGATTTAAAGCCGCACAATGCGCATCCAAACGCTAATTTCTCCAGTACTAGACTAGCAAATACTTCGTGCCATGCATAATCACACTACCTTATGGCGAAATAAACTCTAGTTCCTCCCATTTCAGTGCGCGTTTGCTTAAAACCCACAAGAAAGAGGTGCGAAATCTGGTAATCTGGCGCCAACGCTAAATTGTTTGCCAAACAATTTTGCCAAGAATCGGTTAGGTGACGTCACATATTTTTATCTTTGCTACACCCGTACCGCTGTACCGCAGCACCGCTCCGCGGTTGCTTGGCAGAGCAAAGCGAAAGTGTCAACAACATCGGAGAATTTGAACAACATTGGAGGTATTTTCAAATGCTTTTTATAAGACAACGCGCAGTGAAATGGGAGGAACTAGAGTTTATTTTGTCATAAAGTAGTGTGATTATGCATGACACGATGTATTTGCTAGTCTAGTACTGGAGAAATTTGCGTTTTGATGCGCATAGTGCGGCTTTAAGTCCAGCAGGTGTTTGTAAATGGGCGCTTTGATAAATTCCCCCCCGTGTTGGGTTATCTTAATACATTATTTCCGGCATGAAATGCAAATTTGTGTCTTATGCATGTAATTAAATTCCGCACGTATTCATAAGCTTTGTATACGTAACCTGCACGTTGTCAGGCGAGTGAAATTTATTAAAATAATGCGCTCTAATTAAAAGCAAGTTTGCAGAAATGGCAAGATCGCGTGAGTGGGACATCTATCTTAGACAGTATAAACGCACGTGACGGGGGAACACTCCTTAGAGTGTTCGATTCTGCCTCTCTCTCTCTCTCTCTAATTAAGCTACCCCATCTCCCTCATAAACAAGGCAGTCTACAAGTAATTGTTACTAACCAAATTGGAGTTCGGTATTCAGTTTTTCAACACTTGCTTTTATGGTGTTTTAATGGTATTTGCTATGAAATCATTTCCATGGAGTTAAAATAAGATCTCCACCTTTGCATATCCCTCACAGAATTAATAATACCACATAAGCAACTATAGTATAGGCGTTCTAAGTAGCTATGTCGTTCTAGTAAGTGTTCTACTAAGCTCCATCCCCACACGTGAATTAATTTTATACCCGTGGACAGAACAACCTTAAGTCCTAGCCGTCTGTTCAAAATACCAAAGCGAAATTAATTATTTAATTTTTTGTTGTGGCATTTTAAACCGGCTGATTGTTTGGTTATCTTTCTTCTTCTTATTATTTTTTTTATTTTTTTTATTTCTCTTGCCATGCAGGTGTGGGAACTTAAAATCCTCCCTTTTCCATAGTACACGATTACTGGACACCTAGCCAGCCAGCGTGTCCGTTCAGTCGTCTTTTCCAGTCATTGACCTTTGACCCCTAACCTTTATTTACTCACGAAAATCCTGAATATGAACGCCGAGCGTCTATTCCTTTTTTGAGATATCGTTGGCTGCAGGGTCGATCTCACTCTGTCGGTTGCACGACTGTACATATTATTTATTTCATAGAGTTAAATATATTCATGATCATGGAGATACGTCCACGTCTGCGTCTGTAAGCGACAATGTTGTGACAGGCTACTACAGTATGCAAATATCAGTCAGTGGCTGACGGCGTAATATGGGTGTGGCGCTCTAGCATTAGTGATGTCACGAACTCGCAGAAGACCATGTTACGGCACACGTGCTGAGCTGACCGCGACAAATGGGTTTCGACAACCGAACAAATTTCCTGCGCAGACATATCACTGTGAATTTGCCTCAAATTGTATCTTTCGGTATTATTACCTTGAGTTCGCAATTGAGGGTTTGTGAGTGAATAAACTTGAGAAAGAAATGTGTGTTTCCCCAACTTTACACACACACGCGCGCGCGCGCGCGCACACGCACACGCACACGCACACGCACACGCACACGCACACGCACACGCACACGCACACGCACACACACATACACACACACATATATATACGCACGCACGCACGCACGCACGCACTCTCGCGTATAGATGCGCGCGCACGCATACACGAACGCACGTACACGCACACGCACGCACACACACACACACACACACACACACACACACACACACACACACACACACACACACACACACACACACACACACACACAACACATATATATATATACATATACGGCAATAATTTAGCCATAATCCATTTCTGTGAAGCGTGCATGCATTGCATGCATTCCCCTCCGTATTTTATTTGCGTGTGCCTCTCTTACGCGCCTGTAAGGATTTTCACCGCATACATGCGTGAATTATCGAAAGCACGCTAATGGGTTGCGTGAAATTAAAATGCGCGAGACACATACCGATTACAAATCAAGCGCGAATTTTCATCGAATGCTCGAGAAAGAAAATTGCGCATATAAATCCCGGAGTCATTCTTTTTCATTACCATTATGAACGTCGTGATTGTAATCGTAATGAAACCGTTGCCCGTTGTTGTTCGCGTTTGTTCGTCTTCGTTATGTCGACCATTGTCATCAGCGTCATCCTTATTTCATTTCTCGCAGCTCGAGTCTGCTGATTGATGGCAAGTTGGTGCATGTGGCTTACTCCAGAGAAGGCCGAGAAGCGCTTGTGCTGGGATTACCAGCGGACAGGTAAGCGCCCCTCGTGTATAAGCTACATATATACTAGCACTGTTGTTCATACACGTATGAAATCAAAAGCACGTAAACAGCACATAAAGTATTTGATGGCAACCGCACATGGTGTTAGCTACGATAATTACCGGGTTTCGAAGTATGTTGATAGTTTATTTCCATACTGTGCCGGGTAGTGTTTGTTGAGTTGAGTGTGCTGCGTTCACTCAGCTGCCTCGTGAACGCCTCGTGTCATGTTTGTTATTTGCGGGCCGACTGTTGCTATACGCGCTCAGCATCGTTACAAGGGTGATTTATAATTACGCCGCGTTATTAGCTGAAACGCACTTCTGCGTGCCGTGTTACAGAGTTCCCCTGTACCAGCTGAAGAACACTATGGAGGATGTGGTGCGGCTCATGAAAGTACTCTACAAGAGTCTAGGAAGGTATACATAAAATCGCTTTCGGTTTCAATCGCAAATGGATCTTTTCAGTGCGATATTTACGGCAACGTTTATTGAGCGTGCGCGGTTATTTGTGAGTGGACACGCGTACCGTATCTAGTTCCTACTGGTTCTTCATGTTGGGCGAAGTCGCATTGCTGTGCAGGGAGCAAGGAAAAAGTCCTTGCATGTCTAATAAAATCCGATTGGATTCCGATGTACGACCTTGCCCTCGTGAGATTCACCAACGTTTATACGAAGATGCCGTGAAAGATGACAGAATACCAGTATAACCATTCGTCTTTGACCCGACTGGGACCTAATAAACAGTAGTAAACAGTTTAAGCGTTATTGGATTTTCCCTGATTGGTGCCTCGCCGCTCCTCTTTAAGGGTGAGTCACAAGCGAAGAGCTAAGACTGTCTTGCAGACGAACGCGCTTTTAGTTATCAGTCGGTCTCACGCGTCATGTACCCACGCCTCGATGTCATACCTCCGAAGCTGTCTTCTCCGTGTCGAGGTTTATGCAGAACTGCTAATTATCGCATTTCCCACAATGTTTCGCATGTTTAGGAACCGTGCTGACAAACACGGGAAGATTACGAATTTATAATCGTTAAATAAATAAATAGTTTCCTAATAAAAATCAATATATAAAACATAAAATTATCGCATTTCTTGCGTGTTTCTCCGCTCGGAAGCTGCGGCAGATGGACATACCGACGGTTCCGTGATGCGCTGGCTTCGCATCTTTTGCAATCGCATCTAATTTCTCGAAAAAAAGATTCGCATCTCATGGCATATCGCATCTCGTGAAGGCGGCGGCAGGCCGTGCGTGCGCGCCGCACGCGCCGACGAAATTTACACGGTTAAATGTCGACGCCGACGTCGACGCGACCGTAATTAAGGCCTAATGGGTGAGATGAATGCCATTGCTCTGTCTGTCGGTCGGATTTATTACGACTGCGTACGTGCCCCGCGTTGTGGCGAGCGTAAGCGCTACGGCTGAGGAAGGAGACAATCGGATTTCCGTCTGCCGAGACGATGCCTCCGGCTGTTAAACTTAATAGTTGGAACGGTTGCAATCACACGCAGTCGGTGTAGGTTTAGTGCACTGGCAATATGGTCGCCCGGGTTTAGTGCGGATGCTCGGTGATAGTGACGGGAAATCGTGGCAGTAGGAAACGAAAACCGAAGCTAAAGCGAGCAGAGAGGTTAAAACTGCTAGGTTAATTAAATCAAGAGCTAATAAAAGAGGTATTATTAACTCTTGATTAAATGTGGATCATCTACATCGCTCGTTCCTTTATGCGTGTGTGTGTGTGTGTGTGTGTGTGTGTGTGTGTGTGTGTGCGTGTGTGTGTGTGTGCGTGCGTGCGTGCGTGCGTGCGCGCGCGTGCGTGC